GTATTCTCTGGTCTTTGGATGGAGTGTTCTGTAGGTATCAATTAAGTCCATTTGGTCCAGAGTCACATTGAGGTTCCGAATCTCGTTGCTGATTTTTTGTCCCGATGATCTGTCGAGGATTGTGAGTGGGGTATTAAGGTCCCCAGTTATGATGGTGTTAGAATCAATATCTTTCTTTAGACTTCCTAGGAGTTGCTCTGTAAAAGTTGGTGCACCTATAGTAGGTGCATATATGTTTAGGATAGATATTTCTTGTTGATGGAGTGAACCTTTTATCATTATGTGGCCCTCTGTATCTTTTTTAATTTTTGATAGCTTAAATGGTATTTTGTCTGAAATTAGGATTGCGACTCCTCCTTTCTTTTGTGTTCCTTTTGCCTGGAAATTTGTTTCCCATCCTCTTACTTTGAGTCTGTGCATGTCCTTTCTAGTGAGATGGGTCTCTTGAAGGCAGTATATTGTTGCCTGGTGATATTTTATCCATTTTGCCATTCTATGTCTTTTCAGTGGTGCATTTAGTTCATTCACATTCAGGCTAATTATTGAAATGTGAGAGTTCATCCCTACCATATAGTCCTTTTAGAGTTGTTCTTCCACTTGGTTTATTGTCTTTCTTTTGTTTTGGGGGTTGGTTCTTATGTATTTTATTCTTTTTCCTGTATTCTTGTGAAAAATGTTGCTTCACCCCCTTTTCTTCTGTGTTTAGTACTTTCTTAATTGTTTCATGTAGAGGTGGTTTGGTGGCACCGTAGGTCCTTAGGGATTGGATATCTGGGAAAGATATTAATTCTCCCTCGCTGATGAAGCTTAATCTGGCTGGGTAGGTTATTTTTGGTTGAAACTGTTTATCTTTTAGGACTTTGAAGATAGGGCTCCAAGCTCTCCTAGCCTGCAGGGTTTCTGTAGATAAATCTGCTGCTATTCTAATTGGTTTTCCATGGTTGGTAATCCGACCTTTTTCTCTTGCTGCCTTTAGGATTTTTTCTTTTATGCCTACTTTGTTTAGGCGAATTTTCATGTGTCTAGGAGTTGGTTTTCTCATTTGTTGTCTTGCAGGGGTTCTCTGGATCTCTTGTGTTTGAGTTTTTGCATCATTGATTAGATAAGGAAAGTTTTCTTGAATGATCTCATGGAAGAGTTTGCTCCAATGTGGTCTCTGTCTCTCTTTCTGCCTCAGGCAGACCAATTACTCTTAGGTTAGGCCTCTTGAGGTAATCATTCATCTCTTGAAGGTTTTTTTCTGTCTTTTTGAACTTGCTTTCTGTGTTTTTGAGAGTTTGATTTAGTTCTATATTTTGGTCCTCAAGCTCTGAGATTCTTTCTTCTGTTTGGGTAATTCTGCTTTCCATGCTTATCAGTTTGTTGTTTATTTATTTCACAGTATTCTTTATTACTGTTATCTCAGATATCAGTTCCTTTCTAGTTTCTTCTTGAGTCTCCTCAATTCTTTTTAATCTCTCCATTAATGTCTTGATGTCTAGGGTTATATTTTGAGACCATTCAGTTGTTTGCATTCCAAAGTCAGTTTTCTCAGTATCTGCCCTCCCAGGAGTCTGGGAAGGACCCATATTTTTCTTTTGGTTTTTCTTCATTTGTGTAGATTTTTCTCTCTGGTCCCTTAGTGGATCAAGTTCCTGAGATCTAATCTCCAGCCTCTCTTCTCTGTTTCTGTTGCAAGTAGGTAGCTTGTTGCTTGGAAGTTCTGTGACACTAGTCTCTACTCAGCATAGGGGAAGGTCTTTGTCTCCTGTTAATGATGTCACCATGGGAACTGAGGCGGAGGCTATGC